AGATAAATATAAAAACCCTCAACATGTAAAACAGAACATTATTGTTACAGTTCTTTAGGAAAATCCTATCTGCTAATATTGGGAGATAGGATTATTATCCTATCTAATAATATTAGTGTTGCCAAGTCCTGTCCTCACGTCAGGTCCGGCATCGAGTCTTCTATATTTTGTTTCACTGCCGTGCAGTAGGAAATCCTCTGCACACAGATGTGTTAACAGCAGAGGGAAGAGCAGAGCCTCTCCTTGGGCAGGATCCTACGCTCCGGAGTTAGGCTGTTCCAGGAATCCTTCATCCTTAAGGCTTGGGCAGCTCGCCACCTGGTTTTTAGAAAACATCCCTTGGACGGATTCTGATTCTTGGCTTGTAGAGTTCACAGTGAGCAAATCGCAAAACTGCTCTTTTGTTTAAAGCTCCCCTTTTCACCTTAGACTCAGACAGAATTCGTTTTTGTCCTATACATGTTCAACATGCCATGCGTGGAATAAAGTCATGACTTTATGTTGAAGTCCTAAGACAGGATGTCTTCCAGGGAGGAAACACTGTGACTAGAAGGTGCTGTTGATGCCTGGCTAGTTCGTAAGGGCGGGTCACAGCGCCGCGTGTGGCTCCGATGACAGGTGTGGGTGCATCACACAGCTCCCTCGGGACTTCCCGCAGCCTTGGGTGGAGAATCCAGTTCTCAAAGGTGACATCACATAATTACGGGAACAGCAACCCAAGTGCATTTAATGTTTTTCATATATAAATATAGGTGTGTGTATTTATATAGGAAATTGTATCTTTTTAGTTATTAATGTAAACGGGACCTTTAAAAAGCCATTATTTATCTGTCTGGTGGTTTGCATATATAGGAAGGCTGTCGATTGTATTTTTTATTAGTTTATACCTGGCGGTGTTGCTGAACTTTATTATTCATATTCTCTTCTTTTTCACTTGATTTTCTCGGCTGTTCTAGATGTGCGATGTTATCTACAGCCCACAGTAACTTTAGTATGGGGATTTTGTGTGAATGCAGAACCACAGTGTGCTCACGGGTTAGATTCTTTGCGTGGAAGAATGTGCTAGAAGCACCTTGTGTTCGTATCTCCTTTTTCTCCAGCTCGCTGTCCTAAGATTTGGGGGTTTGACCCTGCCAGTATAGGGGGCTGCTGACAGTCTAGAGACTGGGGGAGCCCGGGGAGCCCATGCTTTGGAGGCCCTTTGACAGGGGCTCAGTTGAGGGCCTGTGTCCTGAGACCACAAGTTAGGTGTCTCGAGGCTCTGTGGTGGGACGCGAGGGACTCACAGAAACTCTCCTGACCGGCCAAGGGGAGGACGTCCTAGGCCCAGAGAAGGGCATGCGCATGGTCACAGGAAAGTGCAGGTGACTTGGACGTGCTGGCTGGGAAGAGGCAGAGCCCATCTCGTGAGGGGCAGGGCCAGGTGCTCAGGGCCTGTGGGTCACTCTGATGCACCTGGAGCTGGGGATAGAGGCCCGAAGTCTTGGAAGCCGGGTGAGGAGCTCCTTCCATACCCATTGAGGCTGGGGAGCCCTCCCTCTTGGTGCTGTGTGGATGATGGTGGAGTTGGAGAAGCTCAGGACTCAAGGCAGAGGAGCTACTGAGGGCATCCTATGGGACTTGCAAAAACTGTTTAAATGGCTGCAAGATAATGTCTGAATGATTTGTTTTCATTCAAATCAAGTAGAAATAGGAATAATCAGAATTATGAGGTTTCACAGGTGTGTGTCAGAGAAGGCCTGGAGCTGAGCATTGCCAGTGAGGGACTGTTAGAAACTGAGGCATTCTTCTTCAAAACGTCATCGCGCCAGCTCTTTGCAGAATCATTTCACACGGAGCCAGAATTCGTTCTAGGCCAGAGTGGTTTTCATAATCCAAACATACGTGTTTTGCACAGAGTGTCTAATTATTCTCGAGGACAATTACTGTCAGGTTCCAAAATGTGTTCAGTGAGCAGCAATTGGTGCTCATTCAGCTCTGAAAAGACTAGGAACAGTAGGTTACATTGTCTGCCTAAAAACACTTTGCCATCTGGAAACATCTGCTTTCTATTTAAAGCCCCAAAGAGGGATGGGACCTATTTGAAAGAGAGACCCCAAGCCTCAGACACCAGGGAGAGGAGAGAGAATTGGGGATGAAGGTGGTGTGTCCTCCAGCAGGCACTCTCTTCAGCTTTTCCCTGCTGGGCAGGGACGCTGGCCACCTGCGTTCGAAAGTTCTGCTTCTCTTGGGTTTTTCTATTTATACTGATCTGCACACTTACGGGAGCTGACTTCTGTGTCCTAGTTCCATCTCTTTTACTCTCCCCGGGGAGGCAGGATGCCCTGTCGGAGTTGGGGTTTGCTCTTCTGAGTTTTGTGGTGAGGTTTGTGCAGTTCTGATGTTGCCCACAAAGATGTAAAGGTTTGTTCAGGTTGCCTGAAATCACCGCGGCCCTCAGCTTTCCATGTGGATGATGCCACGCGCTCACAGTCCTGTCCAAGGGTTAAGTGAGAATGTATATAATCTGCTTGGTGTACAGTTAACTCCTACGAAGATCCAGTCTTACCCATCTGTTACGTAATAAACTGCCCCAAACTTAGCACATTTCTACGGGTCAGGCGTCCAGACATGGCATCGCTGGCCCTCAGCCTCAGAGTCCCTCAGGAGGTGTCATCAAGTTGTTATTCTGGGCTGGGGTCTCACCTGAAGGCTCAGCTTCCCACCTCTCCCCGGAAGTGGCATTTCTGGTTGGGGTCCCACGGGCAGCCTGTCGTGGCTTCAGTTCCTCCCCAGAGCTGAGCGGGCGGATTTGGAGGTGGGCCCTTCTCGTCTGCACACTCACCACGCCCAGAATCATGCCAAGCTGACGGCTCGCTGCCTTTGCTTGTCCCAGGTCAGAAAGCACCGCCATCTTTTCTTTTTTTTTAAATTTATTTTTATTTTTTCAGAGTATTTCCATATTTATTAGGCCAGCATTCCTTTACCTAGCTGGGCACCTAAACTGATAGCTGGTGCTATGAGCTTGAAGAAGTGTGTGTTTCCACTGAGGGGTAGTGGTTCCGTTCACTTTCTTCCAAGCCAGGCTTTTACTTGAGTGTAGCGACAGGTCGAGGGAGTGGCCCTTGCCGTCTTCTCTTGCTTTCCTTTCTTCACTCTCACTCCTGTGGGCTTCGGGAGCATGGAGCGTTTGAGGAAGGCCACTGCTCGGCCACGCCAGGCTGCCCTCTTTCCTCACCAGAGCACCTCTGCCTCCCCTTGCCCCTCCCCCCATCCTTCGCACCCAAAGGTCCTGCTCTTGGTCGCGGTGTTGTCCCCGTGGGCTGTGGGAGGACATTCGGTGTCATTCTGGAGGAGAGATGCTGGCTGTCTGCGTCACTCCTTCCATCTTTTTCTAGATCATCTGATGATGTCTAATGTGACTATCTCCCCAGCTTCTCTGAGGATAACCCCCCCTGGAACTCTTTGAAGAGTGTACTACTCAGGCCCCTGCCCTGGAGAGCCAGGTTCCAGGGGGCTATGCTGGGGCCCGGGCACTTGTATTTTTAGTTGAAGTGCCCCAGCTAATTGCTGTTGATGGTCTGAGGGCCCTAAAATCCAGGCCCAATCCCTCTTCCTGGGTGTGGAGGACAGGAGGGAAGGTCCGAAAGCCCCATCCACCCCGCGGAGGGCCCCTGCCTCGCTTGTTTGTGCTCTGCCCAAGGGAGGCAGAGATTTTAGCGTAACTGGGTTCTTTAAAAACCCCTTCTGTATTGCTGCCCTTCCTTCTCTCACATACGCTGAGAAAACCACGTGAGCAGTGTTTTCCTCTGCGGTTGTGGACTTAGACGATTACCAAAATACAGTGCCTGGGCCCTCAGCAGCACAGCTGGGCCTCCAGATGTCAGATTGCCTGTGCGGGCTCAATTAGGAGGGCTTGTGTCCATGTGCACACTCCCCACAGGCTGCCCTCGACAGCAGATGCCGCACTCACGTGAAAATGAATAGTCCTTTTGTTCCCGCAGCTCTCACCCTGCTACTGGAAGGGTGTCAGTACAGGATTGAGTGGGTGAGTGAACTCGGTCACTGTTGAGAAGAGAAACCTTCTAGGAATCCACATTCCCAGGGGTACTTGTCCTGCTCCCGGGATCCGGAAGGAAAGATCCAGGGGCCAGGAATGCTGGTCTCAGTGTTCTTCTGGAAAGTGCTGCATTGAGGTGGCCCGAAGAGCATGCTCTTAGCTTTATTCATTCGGAGAAACAGCCATGCGACCACAGTTGATGGTCGACGCCAGTATTGTATTCATGGTGTTCAGGATAGTACACAGCTTTCCTGGGAAAAGTTTCTCTGCTTAGAAAGAGCTTTCCTTCCAGTAATGAGCCTCCTAGAGTCGAGAAGGGTGCAAAGACTGCTCTGCCCGTAACCACCCCACTCCACAGAAAAATAGATAATGTACTAGTTTGGGCAGTGACCACATGGAGAACTTACAGGTGTGCGGGTGGAAAAGCAGCAACACAGAGGCAAGAACAAGAGAGAGATTCGATGAATTGTACATAGAACTCAAAAGGCTCGTAAGTTGGAAACATGAAACTTGAAGGCTCCATCCATTGTGAATGAACGCACCATTCATAAAATGCTGGGGATTTGAGACGTGCTTAATAGAAACGTAACATGAGGTTGCAAATGATTCACAAAGTCCTAAAGTTGCTGCGGAACCTCCCAAAATAAATGTGTTGCGAATTTCTAAGAATGCCAACGGGATGTCAGAAAAAGAATAGGGCAGTTGGCGGGATGGAGAAACACTCACTGGACAGGGAGCCGCCTTGATGCAAAAGGCTCATTAGGCCAGTTGCCCCACAGCCCCAGGGTGCCTGGTCTCTCTCCTCTCTCCCTTTTCTTATTTTAATTGCCTCATGCATATGTATCTTTCCCTATAAGCTATTAAATCTTCGGGAGGGAGTCGTAGATGGCTTGTAAATAACAAACAAGACGTAGAGGCGCGTCCCGCCCGTTCACACGCCCCCCTCTCTCTTATCTTGCAGAGAGCAGCCCATATTCACCACACGCGCCCACGTCTTCCAGATTGACCCCAACACCAAGAAGAACTGGGTGCCCGCGAGCAAGCAGGCCGTCACCGTTTCCTACTTCTACGATGTCACGAGGAACAGCTACCGGATCATCAGTGTGGACGGAGCCAAGGTACCAGCCCACCGGCCGGGTTTAACACTCACAGTCCCTCGCGTTCCATCTAAAGCATGATGATAGATGCGAAACGTGGGCGGGAAAGGACATGCCCCACATCTGCCACCTTATTGTGATTACGTCTTATAATCACATATCCTGCTTTTTTTTTGCTTCCCCCCCCACTTAAAATTATGGCAAATGAAGAAAAAAGATTTCCCGGTTGCCACATTGTCTTTATAACTAGCATTTCAGTGCCTGTGTAATAATTCCGCAACGNATAGAGGCGTGTCCCACCTGTTCACACGCCCCCCTCTCTCTTATCTTGCAGAGAGCAGCCCATATTCACCACACGCGCCCACGTCTTCCAGATTGACCCCAACACCAAGAAGAACTGGGTGCCCGCGAGCAAGCAGGCCGTCACCGTTTCCTACTTCTACGATGTCACGAGGAACAGCTACCGGATCATCAGTGTGGACGGAGCCAAGGTACCAGCCCACCGGCCGGGTTTAACACTCACAGTCCCTCGCGTTCCATCTAAAGCACGATGATAGATGTGAAACGTGGGCGGGAAAGGACATGCCCCACATCTGCCACCTTATTGTGATTACGTCTTATCATCACATATCCTGCTTTTTTTTTGCTTTCCCCCCCACTTAAAATTATGGCAAATGAAGAAAAAAGATTTCCCGGTTGCCACATTGTCTTTATAACTAGCATTTCAGTGCCTGTGTAATAATTCCGCAACGGCCCTATCATGCTCTTAATCTCCCCCTTTATGGTTAGGTATTTAAGGGGCTTCCAGTTTTCCACTGTTACCGATAATGGGCATCTGCATGCAACCACTGTCCTCGTTTGAACATCGAACTTACCTGGTGCCCTCTTTTGGACATTTCCTGAGGCTGGATTCCTGGAAGTAATATATCAACACTCTGTGGCTCTTGATGGTAGCTGCCAACTTCCTTTCCAAAGTGGTCTTTCCCCCACCGCGTCTGAGAATTGCACCCTGGCCAGTCTGGTTTTGGTGTTCTTAGGCATGGGAGTTGATTTTAATAAATGGCTTTGCAATATTTCTTGAAATAATTTTTTTTTCTGATACTTTCATTATTCTGCTCTCTTCCTTGATATTTTTGCCACATTATATGGAAGCAGAATTAAAAAGGGATCATAGGTCGATGCTCAACCGCTCAGCCACGCTGGCCGGGCTTGTTCGTTTGTTTTTTAACCCTCACCGAGGATATTTTTTCCATTGCTTTTCAGAGACAGTGGAAGGGAGAGAGAGACATCGATGGGAGAGAGACACATCGATTGGTTGCCTCCCGCACACACCATAGCGAACTTCCCAACCCTGAAGCCCCAGCTTTGCCCTGCCTGCGTAATCCAGATGATGATCTCCCCCCCCCAGGGACTGGGATAGGTGCAGCATCCTGAGCTGACGCAGCGACGGGGCTCTTTTCTCCTGCCCTTGGCTACCACCATCCCACCCCAGCACCACATTGGGACAGCCCACTTTATTTTAGGCCTTGGATCCCAAATGTTGATCTGAACTGAGATGACAGATGGTCAGATGATTTTGGCCTTGACCCATGGGCTGCACGTCTGTCCTTGGGCAGGTCTGGGGCTCAGGTCCTGCCTTTCTCTGTTGGCCTGGCCACATCAAGTCCTCGACCTGGAGCTTCTCCTTGGTGCTTCTGGGCCGGCTGTCCCTCCCAAGGCAGGAGGCCAGGAGGGAAGCCTGCGCCACCCTCCCCAGTGGAGGGGGAGACATGCTTCAGTCACAAGTGGCTGGTGGGGAAGGACGTGGAGGTCGCTGTGAGCAAAGGTCACAGCAAACTCAGCTGCTGAGTCAGCGGCAGGTACCACAGAGCACAGGCTCCGTGGAAGGAGGAGGTGCAGCCAGCAGCTTTCGCAGCTGTCACCCACACAGGGCTCCTCTGCTCGGTCCAACCGTGTGTCTGTTGTGTTTACTTGGGGAAGGACGCATGAAGGTCCCCCTTCCTCCGAGAGCACGTGGTGCTGCTCATCATGGGATGGATCTGCTCAGACCTGCTGTCCATTCTTCCTGAACCACTAAGGTGCTTCTCCTCCTCAAAGGAGCTATTTCACGTGTCAGTCCCAGCTGCTGCTGGAAACATGCAGAGGCAGGAAATACTGTACTATTTCGCCCAGCATTGCCTGGCTGACTGCAGGGGGCTATGTGGATCCACTTCTGGGCATGAGGCTGCCCAAGGACTGCACTTAGGACCAGGCCTGGCTTCCCTTTGGAGTCCCAGCACCAAGCAGCCTGGGCAGCGCCCTAGAGTGGGTGGGGAGTGAGCGGGTGATGAGGTCAAGCCTGGCCACATGCTCTCCAGGCCTGTTGTAGCTGTGCCGTGTCCACAGAAGGACACTGGGCAGGGGTAGAGTCACTGCTGAGACTGAACCAGGGTCAGAGCCTCAGATCGTGTCCCGGGTTGGCCCTGTATGTCGACAGATGGGAGCCACGTGAGGGCACCTTGCAACCAGCTTCCCAGAGCCCTGATACGAGTCCTGCAGCACCAGCAGCCAAATGACCTATGGCAAGTTTTGGGCAGAACCACTAACTCCACTTTAAAGGACTCTGTTCCCGGAGTCCTCCATTTGTTAACTGAGCCATCGCGGCCCTTGGTTTTGCTGTGCTCTTGGCACCCTTGCAGACAAAGTTCATCGTTGCCATCCTCAGGAGAAGCTGCTTGCGCCTGTGGACAAGGCTTGCCTGGAGCAGGTGTTCCTCCCGGGTGCCCTTGGTTCTCAGTTATTTATAGGATCACAGGGACCTATATTGGGAGAGACCTTAGAGGTCATCCATTCTACAAGTATTCACAGCACCCGCTGGGTAGCCAGTGCTGCCCAGTCGAGACCGTTCAGAGGCTGTAAGCCTCTGAGATCTGACTTGCTGGGTATTTTCTTTTGGAAATGTGAAATTGCTTTCAAGAACACAGTCAGGGGCCTGTTCCCCCCACCCCACCCGCCTGTCACTACAGTTTCCTCTTTTGGATTAACGCTGGCATCTTCTATTCAGGGAGCAAGCACATGGAAGGTTCTCGGCACACAGTAGGTTTTCAGTGAATGGTGGTTTCTTTCTTTCCTTGATGTGCTGAAAAACAAAGGAAACAAGCTTTGGAAGCAGGCAGCCTGTGTTTTAACTGCTGTAACACAATCCCAGCCTCTTACAGAAAATACCCAGGTTCTTCCAACTTCCACCTCCTTGGATTTGGGAAAGATTTTCCATGAAGAGGAATTGTGGGGACCTGTTTCCCATTTCGTGACGAGCAGTTCCTCTGAGGTCCAGAGCAGGGCTGGAGACTGGAGGGGCTTAGCTCTGTGCTTCTTCCGGGCAGCTCTTGTTGCATGTGTTTTGTGCATTTTCTGAAAACATGGTCCCAGGGATCTATAGGAGCCGGGCCTTTCATTAGGATGTTTCAGAGAAAACTCACAACAGAGGAAGGGATGTGAGGTCGCCACGTGCTGATGTGTCCCCCAGCAGAAGGCCACCTCTCTTGCCAGGGCAGTGTGTGCACTCCTGCCACGTCCTATCACCTCATTCCTTCATCCTTTCAGGCCAGGGAGGGGTGATGGCCAGCACCAGGCCCCTGAACCGTCCCTCATTGGCATCCCCATGCCCAGCTCATGCCTGCCTAACTAGTCTCTTTATAAATGAACCCTCCCAGAACTGTCCCAGCAGGGTGCACCTTTCCCTTCCGGTTGGGAAGCAGCAAGCCCCAATTGCTTATGGAGACTTTAAGCTGTTTGAGCTGGACACTGGGACGCCAGGTGCTTAAAATGGGACGACATGAAGTTCCTCAGAGGACGTCATTAAGGGCAGCTGGGGGCCTGGCAGCTTTGGGGATAAAATTAGCAGTTTTGGAAACTATACTTAGAGACGTTCTCCCGCTGACAACCTCTAAGTTCTTAGTTTGGTCTGAGAGTCTGTTTTTAAATCTCTGACATTGCCCCTCATCGTGGTTGTGTAGGGGACTCGGCGTGGGAGGGGACAGAGGCCCCAGAGCCTCAGGTCCTGGCTTTACCCTCAGGAGGCCGCGTGAGGGTCACTGTGGCGTCCCTCCATGTTTATATTCCTGCTCTCTGGCCGTCTTCCTCAGGTGATTATAAACAGCACAATCACGCCCAACATGACTTTCACCAAGACATCCCAGAAGTTCGGGCAGTGGGCCGACAGCAGAGCCAACACTGTGTTTGGTTTGGGATTTTCGTCGGAGCTGCAGCTGACAAAGGTAAGGTGGCCCTTTCCATGGCGCAGGACCTGCAGCGGGGGCAGGAGGGAGGGACCGAGCAGGACGCCTGCCTCCGCCTGCAGCTCCACCCGTCTGGCACCACAGGGCTGTCAGACCAGGTGACCTTTCAGAAATGCCAGGTTCCTTGAAACGGAGATGTCACTGGGGAAAGGGAAGCATGTCTGACAAATGCTGCCTCAGAGCCTGAGCTTGAGCATCAGGAGGCAGCTCGGCCAGCAGCGTCTGACCGTCTAGTTGGAGCACTTAGAGACAGGGAGTAAGGCGACGCCTAGTAGCAGGGCTTAGCTGGAGTCCCCACGCTGTTTGAGGTGTCACACAGTGTTTTTCCCCCCAGGGAGCAGGCTCATAGCCTTGATTTGCTCCTCCGAGGGGCCTAGGATACACTCTGGATGTTAGGTGGCCAGGAGCAGGTAGTGACTGACCAGACCGGGAGGCTACAGGGTCCCACCCAGTCAATGAGAGGAGCCGAAAGCTGGTTTTAGGAAAACAGGTTTCCTTTCAGGGTGGTGGGAGAGCCCTCTGTAGTTATTAAGACTATATCGGTTGTGCATAACCCACGGACAGAGCGTGGGGAAGGCCTGGGGGTGGGGTGGATGT